TTGCTCCGTATGCAGCAAATACATTCAGATTATAAAACATACATTTACAGAATTATAACAAAGAATCGGTTTTTTTTAATATGCTGCGCATACTACCCTCCATGTAATATGTCAAACTATATGGAGAACAGAATGTGCCATAATTAAATGCATATGCCTGCTTCATTTCGGAAAATACGATAACAACAATCAAATATTGTTACAATACATATAAATTTCGGTATTACAAAAGTGTTGATAAAATTGTTATAATTTTTTAGAAAATAATTTGAATTTTTTTTATTTACAAAATTACAATATTTTTTGTCATCTGTAATACAAAAAGAATTTTTCTTATATATAGGAGAACGAAATAAGTAAGAGTATACAACAAATACTTATGCGTGTTCAATTCATGATTGCAGAATAATTGAACAATAACAAAAATTTTATGCACGATTCATCGTAATTTTTTTTTTTATTTTGCTGGTTAAATCAAGTACGAATACATAAACAGTGTGAAACAAATTGGTTGGTGTGTTGAATAAAATTGTTATTACATTGTTAAAACACAATTTGCTGCTATGCCTTAAGAATTGACACTAAAGAGTTTTTATTTTTGTTTTTTAAATTCTTACCATTTAACAACCATTTTATTGTTCAATTTTGATATTAATAGACAATTATTGTACTTACGAGTACTATTATTATTGTTAATAAAAAGTTGAACATTCTAAATGACATTTATTATACTTTTTCCAGTAGCATATCAATTTAATTATAAGGTGTTCATCATACTATGTTGAATTTAGGCAAAATAAATAAAGTTTCTGAGCATTGTATAATAATAATTAAATATATATACATATAACAGTTATGTGTATAACAGTACGTAATAATTGTATATCATAATTCTTATTAGTAATATTAAGAATATAATTAATAATATAGAAATTTTTTGAAGTTGTCAATTTTCGTCAATTTTTTGACCTTGATATTTCTTATATACTACAAATATAATGAAAAAATATCGAGTCCATATTCACCTATTTTCATTCACTTATAATATTTTATGCTTATGCCCTTAAATTATATGTATAGTTAAAATTCTTTTAATTTTTAACAATAACTGTTATACAATTGTTATATGTTATGCGATAATTATAATTAGAAAGTTTTTTTTACTTTATCTTATCCCAAACTAAATTCATTTAATTCCAGTATTGCATGTACAAAAAAATGTCAACATAATTAAAAAAAAGTTTTCTCAATAGTCACGATTAGAATCTGCATTGACACACACACAAAAAAAAAGTTAATGCCATAATAAATGATCCGTACAATAAAAAACTAAAATTTTTATTAGTTTTTCTATAATGAACTTAAGTTTTCCTTTCAAATTTTCAACTTTCTGAACAAACAAGAATAATTGAAAGTGTTATATTTTAGTTACATGCCTATAAGTATAATGTTTTGACAGGAAAAATTTTCAATTATCAAGCTACATACATTATTGTATAATATCATTAAAAAAATTAATTAATAATTGGCTAGTTAAAATTAAATCGAAATATCAAGAAAAACATTAAATCGATTTTATTAACAAAAATAATCGGAACAATTAATTTAACTGAGGAGCACTTGCGAATATTATTGAATTAAACCGAATGTCAAATGCAATCAAAATTTTATAATCAAAAATTTAAGAAATATTCTACAATCGTATTGAAATATTTCAAATTTAAATAGAATTTAAAAATTAAAAAAAATAAATAATAAAATTTTTTAAAGAAATATTTGAATTCACACTCATATACTGCATATACATATATTTCTAATTTCATTCATAATTGCCAATATTGTCAAATATTTCAAAAATTTTATAACACTAAAAATATTTTGTAAAATTTTTTTTCCCCAATTCATTTTAACATCATGTTAATTTTCCACTTAATTTATAAACAATTTTATCAGCTTATTTACAAATTTACAAATGAACATCACATTTCAAATAAAAGCAAAAAAAAAATCAATATTTATGATTAATTACTAATCAACATAATAACAAATAAAATGTCAATAAAATGTTTATTATACTGACAGGTATAACAATAATGAATGCATACCGCATATACGAGTATAACAAATAGACACAACAATAATTCCACAGAGTCATCTCTATTATAAATTTTTCAATATAAATTTTATAATTCAATAATACTCTGCTTAACAGATATGTTAATATTTTATTTAGCATTCATCTTCACTGGTTGATGCTCAAATTCAAACGAATAATCAAGATATGCTTGAGTCGTTGATCACTTTATTTGTGTTTTTTTTTTGGTTCTTCTTGAATTTGAAGTATTTATGGAATTTACTCGTTATAAAATAATAACCATATTAAAAATATCAAAATTGAAAATATAGAAATTTTAAATAATCGAAAAAGCAATTCATCGAAATTATATACGTACATATAGGCAACAATTTCTTGGGTTCGTTTTAAATAAATATATGTAAGTTTTAATTACATATGCTTTAAAATTTTTACATTATACTTGCCTAAAAGCTGAGCTATTTACTGAATATTATTTTATAGTAATACAACATACGGAGCCCTTACTTATAATGAATACAAAAATGCAATAAAAATTATGAAAAGACAAAAGACTTCCAATCAACAAAACAGTCAAAAACTTTAAAATCCGGTTAAAAATGCTTTTGTCATACAAGTATTTTGTGCTAAAGTTCAAATTAAGCGTTTATTCCTCACTATAAATCATTTCAATTCGAAAATTTTTGTATAAAACAAAACAAATAACATGATTACACGCAAAACTACACTAACAATATATTTTACAAACATAATTTATATATTCGAAAAAATGTCATATACCTCTTCATACTTGTCTGACTACTACAAATTGTATGAGACTATTTTGATTGATGTTGTTGTACAATAATATTATATAATCCGTTTATGTTTGTATATAACGTGTAAACGTGAGAGATTTTATATAATTTTGTTATATGATTGCTACTATTATTTCTAGATTTATAATGTGAATATAAGCCTCTATCTAATGATGATGATGCTTCTGTTATTTCTACTGTACAAGTACATCATCATATCAAACTTCAACATCATCTTCTCCACATTAAATCTCAACTACTTCATATAATGATATCAAAAATCAAATCTGTCATTTAAAATTAAATAAATTAAAGAGAATGAATTGTTTTTTTTATATTTTTTCTTTTATATTCTCTTTTACTTATAAATTCATTCATAATATTAATTTTTAAATCATTTTAATCGAATACTTAAGTTTATTCATATAAAATCGAAAATAATATATTAAATGATAATAATGATATTATATGGCAATGACAAATGTAATTTTTAATTTGATATTATTTTTTGAATTATAATTAATTATTTTAAATATTTGAATTTTTCATGGATGTGTTAATGGCTATTCATTATTGTTATAAAAATATAAGGTGCGATTTAATAGCGAATATAATGAAATTCATACATAGATAATCGATTGTTTGTTGATTTGGACATTTTAGAAAATCGATTTTTAAAGTGAAAATTTAAATAATCGATTTTGAAAGAGAGCTTTTCTTTATAATTTATTGTAAGTGATAATTTTCAAGCTGAAGAAATGGAATTTTGCGCAAAAAAGAAACGTTTTAGGTGCTTATCCCTATGTCAATAAATTAGAAATATTATTTTTTGCGTTATGGCTCGCTTTTGCAGCAAATATAGACATTATTGTCCGTGGAATCTTGTATAGTAACATGTAGAATACAAATTATAAATTACATTGCGGGATTATATGAAAGAGATAAGACGACTGCGAATAAGTTCAATGAAAAAGAATAATCATATTTCTTCTTAGTACAATGCATGAAATTTTCTACCAGAAGAAGATTTATTTAAAATTTTTGTACAAAATGCTTTAAATTTTTTATTACTAAAGCAATATTCTATCGATAATTCTTTCTCAAATAAGAAAAAATCCAAGATAATACCACGTAGTTCCCAAAAAAGTTATTGGTTCTGTTTTTAAATTAAAAATTATTTTAACACAGTCTCCATACTTTTATTAAAATGGTGTAAATCACGAATCCTCCATTCCATAATGCAATCCATAATCGAGCTGTAATCAAAATATTTCTTTCATTTTATTATGATCACATCACTAAAAAGCAATTTTGATTAAAATTTTATTGCTTATTTTTGCAAAAAACATAAATTAAATATAAAATGTAAGTAATTTCAAATATCATTGAAAATTTTTAATCAAAATCTGATTAACATTGGAAAAATATTTGCAGTTAAATAAAATCTTTAATTTTTACAATATCAAAAAAAAAAAAAAAGCATAATCATAAAGATGGGTGGGTGTATTATGTGACCCAAGGATTTAAAAATCATAAAATCATTTTTTAACAACGAAAACTTCATTAATTTTGGATTGCTTACGTATTTAAAATTTCATGTTAAATTTCAATGTCCTTTACATATTTTTGTTCAATTTTATTATTTAAATTTAAAACCATTTTTTTGATTATTATGCCTTTTTGGTCATTTATTGAAATAATTTCCGTTTTATTATTAAACTTAGTGACAACTGACAATCATTCGTATATGGTTATCGCAATTTTATAAAATAAAATACCCAATAATTTTAAAATTAAAAAATTCTTAAATTTTTAACAAAATTTTAAGAAAATATTTAAAGGGTGGCAAATCTATTATAAATATTTTTAAATTCATAATATTTTCACTGTTCTTAAGCTCAAAATAAATAAAACAACTTGCCAAACGAGTTTCGATAATATTGAATCTTTCATTAATCGAAATTCTCATTTCAGAACCAACTAAATTACTACTACTTAAAATTTATTCTAACACTAATTAAAATAATTTAAAAGAACCTGCAAAAAATTTTACGTTAAACAGTAAATTACTATAATAAATCATTTTTTCTGTTTCCATTTCTTTACAGATGAAGTCGTTCATTTTGCACTTGTTTGTGCTATTTTTAATTCAAATCCAACAAAATGTTTATTCATCTTCATTAGCTACAACATCATCAACGATTAATTCAATTTTATCACCAACTTCTTCTTATTTTAATAAAACAACAACAACTACATTTCATACTTCATCATCATTATTAGCTCAAAAAAATGTATTAGAAAAGGAAAAAGGAAAATTTCAATTAGAAAAATTAAAAAGACCATCAAAAACAGTTACATCGACAACAGAATCAGCGGTAGCTTCTAAGCAATTACAAAAAGAAGACGAAAATAATTTCAAAATAAAAAAATCACGTACGGCACGCGACTTACAAATAAAAAATATAGACTTATCACAAAGTAAAGATAGTAATAATTTTAATGGTAATAATGGTAATAGTGAAGTATCATGCATCACACTCCTTAAAGACGAAAATATAAAAAAAGATTGTCGTGAACAAAAGCAACAACAGCAACAACAACAGCAACAACGAAGGCATATACAAAAACAAAAACAACAGCACCAACAACAACATTTATCAAAAGAAGAAGAACAAATTAAATCACTAAACCAAGCTTCACAATCTTTGTGGCATGAAACACAGCAAAGCAATAGAGTGCGACGAACTAGTAAAACGTGAGTTTGTAATTTTTATGATTTTTTCAAAAATTTTATTTTATAGTGTAGTTGCATTAACTCAATGATTTAATAGAATTGTTTTTTTTTTGGATCAAAAATAATTTAATCTTCTTCTATGAAATTATTTTTAATATTTATTTTTCTCTTTTTTATTCTTAAATTATTGTAGACCAAGAACTATTCAAAGATTAATAGCAGGTCATTTAACATTATCAAATGATCCAGCTTATTCTACAAAGAAATTAGAATCAGAAACTACAGTCACAAGAATTAAGACCTATTCAACAACACCTAAAATTGAAGTATCGACAGAATTGCATTCGCATACGACAACACCAGCTTCAATTAATTCTACTACACTATCGATTAGGAAACCATATCGCAGTAGAACTTATGGCAGCATATTACGTGAAAAATCACCGAATATTCTTTCAGCTGTAACATCTAAATCTTCAATTAAAGGTGAAGATTATGATACTAATAAGAAAGATGATGATGAAGCTTTTCTTGAAGATACAAAAGAATTAGATAATTGGGATAATGGAATTTTACGACTTGGAGCTGGTGATGGTAAAGAAGAACAAACTAAACCAAAGAAGAAACTTGATCCAAATAAAACTTTATCTGAACAAGTTAAAGATGGAAAATACGGTTTAATTGAAGAAGAAATTTTCAAAAAGCATCCAAAACGTCCTGGAATTTTAAGTTATTTACAAAATAAAGAATTTCCCCATGATAACGAAAAAACTTTGGGTGGTCTTAATGAAGAAGATATTTGGTTAGCTGAAGATCATCTTTTAGTAATTAAAGGTGGAGGACTTAATGACAAAGACAAAAATGAACCTTGGGCTCCAATTGATGATTATATTGAACCAGATCGTCCGATAAAAATTCCAGAAAACCCTAAAATACCCCCACCATTTCCTATCCAACTTGGGGAAAATGAACCGATTCAATTTGTCGGCGATAATCAAATCACGTTCGGAAATACGCCATTCTTCAATGAATCAACCGCAGAAACGGTACCAGTTTATCCCGCCGGAATTGAAGATAAAAACCAAATCGAAAATGAAAGTAACGACAAGAAAGATTTACCTTCCAGGAAAGGCTCGTATCAAGGCACTACGAAATTGGCAAGCATCACTGATGCCAAAAATGTTAAAGAAGGATATTTTTACCCATCAGGAAATCCCGCATGGAACATTAAAAACGGAACCATCTACAATCCTTTTTTAAATTTCAAACCATTTGATTTTCCAGCTGTTCCACCCAATGGTTCCGTTGATGATATATTAGATCAATTCGATGAAGATGATCCATCACTATATTATCCGCCTCCTTACAGCTTTGTATATAAAAGTAACTACACTAATCCAGTACCAGCCGGTCCCTTGGTACCTGGAATCGTATTGCCACCGCCACCAAATGCTTTTAGTAGATTAAATGCTGAGAAGCGTACAAGAAAACCAAGGCCTAATCAACCATCATTTAGACAAAAACTTACAAGGTTGCAACAGTATAAACCAAAAACAATCGTAGTTACACCAGATCCTATAACAAGCACAACTCCAACTGCAAAATATTCTTCCCCAACCCGCACAACCACATCATCAAGTACGACTACAAGTCAACCTCCTGTTGAATTTGATATGAATAAGCAGGTGGTATATGCTATCACGGAAGTACCACCACCATATGGTAAAGTTCGATATTACACACCTTCTAGTAATATTTATTCAACTTCAACAACACAAAAACCATCGACAGAACCAGCTCCCGTCGAAGAAGTCATTTCTTTTGTACCAAAGGCAAAAAGTAAGGCTCCCAAGAACGATGGCCTATCGCTTAAAAATCCAATATATTACGAATATTATGATCTTAAACCAACACCTCTTCCAACACCAGAAGTATATTATAAAGAAATTTTACCACCAACACTTCCTCCCAATCCAACAATTCCTCTTAGACATACAACTTCTCCAATGCCTCAAGCAATTTCTCAAACGCCAACACCTGTTCCAATAACTTCAGTAAGTCCGGAACCTAAACAACCAACAAAAAAACATAAAGTTTCCAAAATTACTACTATTAAACCTGTATTACGTAAACCACATAAACATTATTCATCACAAGGTAAAACATATCTTACTCCAAGACCTTACAACTTCGACGAATTCGCTAATATTAAACCTCATCCCGAGATTCGACCAAATGGTATTGCTTATTATGAGAATTCTGCCGAACCTATAAAGCCATTCTACAATAGGGAACCTAAGCCTGCAGTTCCTGATTTCGATCGGGAAATAAATGCGATACGTCAAACGTTGCAACTTTTTAATGGAAATCCACAATCGCAACAACAACAACAAGTGTACGATTATAATCAGAGTACGCATAAGCCCAGACCAATTTATGAATATTCGTTCGACGCAAGAAGACCTAATCCCACCACTTCAAAACCCCAATTTGACTCTGAACCATTCCAACCCATGGTAAAATACAGCCCTCCTGTTGACGAGGTCAACGGTTTTCGTGCTATAACTTATCCTGAAATAAATGATCCGAGCTATTATAATGTTGTTACCAATGCTCCACCAGAATCTGATGTTAGCCAGAATAATGACATACACGTTCAAGTAATTTATGATTCCACCCCACGTCCAGAGAATGGATTTTATTCAAATAGTCCTCTTCAAGCTACACATAGCACTCTAGGACAACCACAAAATCCATGGATTTCGATTGAAAAACAGGTTGTTCAAGAAATTGGTAATAATGGGTTGCCAATCACAAGTCGACGTCCACCCAAGAGACGTCCAAACTCTCGCAAAATTGAACAAGTTCCTAAAAATAATAAATTCGAGGGCTATTTTTACGGTCCTCCTCAAGCATCTGCTAGTCAAATTCAGAGAACGAATAATCGTTACTACGAAGAACCTTTTACAAAGCATTTGAGTGAAATTAGGAAAAAGCTAAGTGCAACACAACCTGAACATCAAACCCACTGGATGATTTTCGAGAATACAACGAATTCCAATTATGTTTCGCCACGTCCACTAACAAATTCAAATTCTGAACAATTTGAGCAATATTTAAGAGAAAGAACATTTGAAGATCCATCTTTAGTAAGATCATCTTCATGGAATTCGGCTAACGACACCATTCCTATAACTCAACAATATAAAAAAGGTGTGGCAGAAAATTTACAACTGCAATCAGAATGGGTGAATCCACAACCAATTAAACAACAACAACAATTGCAACAACCTGCTCAAGTATGGAATCTCGAAAGCGATATTAATGTAAATAATATTGCGTACGGTCGACCTCCAATTAATCCAGATGCTGAATTTATTGAACAATATAGACAGCCATCACATCATAAACCGCACCGTGAAAAATACCGCGATTCATCTAAATCAATTAAACCAAATTCTGAACCTTTCAAGCAATATCTACGTGAAGTCACACCTACAGAAAATCAGGCATCCCAATCGCAAAAACTATGGGGTTTGGAAAGTCATGTGAGTGAATCTTATCCTAGGCCTACTATTAATCAACATTCCGAAGTAATGGAGCAATCGAGCCGCCCTAGTCATCATTACAGACAGCAACAACAGCTGCAGCATTCACAACAACTGCAAATAATTAATGGTGCTGAATCTTTTAAACAATATCTACGAAAAGTAGCACCAAATAAAAACTATAATCCCTCGAATCCTCCTCAAGTATGGAGATTAGATAATGACACAAACGTTAATAGAATACCATATGGTCGTCCTCCTGTAAATCCAAATTCAGAATTTATAGCACCCCCACCGCTACCACCACATCCATCTCAAAAAAGACCTATATATCGAGAAAATATACGTGATCTTATACCACCTTTTAAATTTCAACAATCACAACAGCAACAATTTCATCAGCAACAGCAACAACAATCATGTAAATGGCCACATAACTGTAATACATATTCAAGTTCTCAACAACAACAGCCACAGCATGGAATAGTTTCACCCGGACATTCATTGCATAGTGATTTAAATATAAATTATGGTCAAAAATTGCCACCATTGAATCCTAACAGCGAATTTATTAATCCTTATCAACCATTTTTGCAACATCAACAAGAACAACAACAAAATCAACAACAACAGCAACAATTAGAACTTAAACCTATTTATAATCGTCCTCAATCATTATTAGATAGTAATTATTATCAACAGAGTCCTTATCAAAATATCAATAATCAAAGACCGCAAAGACCACCCAAATAGGAATCCAAGTTAAATTATATTTTAAAAATTTATTAATTAAATTCTAGTATACATATATATATATATAATTTTTAATTAATTTTAATTGAATAGAACCAAATGATTCGAATATAAAAAATTTCAATATTTTCTAGTTATACCTTTTACGAAATCGTTCAATATCAATTTCTAATTTTGTATTGTACAAAATGAATTTTAATTTATTATTAAATTAAATATTATAATATTTAATAGAGCCAGTTAAGAAAACATCATAATTATAAATTTAGTATTGCAAGTATTTCAATTCATGGTTCTATCAAAAACAAACCTTGTTTGTTTACATGAAATTTATTTCTTGATTGCATTTCTATTTTTAATTTTTCTAGCAAATTCTACCAAAAAATAAATGTCATACAATACTACCTGATATTGCAATCCTACTTTTACTTTTAATCATTTGATCTATAGCTCACATTCTTGAATTTCATAGCTGATATTCTTGTACAACAGAGACTTTCGCAATTATCAATAAGATATTGATGGTCCTTTTTTTTTAAAGATTCCTTGAGATTTTTTATTATTTAAATACGAAGATTATTTGATATCTCTATAGAATATCTATTGTCCTTGATATTACCTATATAGTAACAAAATTTCATTTAAATCTGATAAGAAATTCAACAAGTTAAGATTTCTGTCCTCTATAATTTAATTTGTACAATACAAGATTTTATTTAATACAAAATTGAATCATAAAGAATTTAAAAACTCAATAATAAGAAAACGCTGTAATTTTATTACAAAATATTCTAAATTAACAATTAATTATGTTATAAACAAATTTATTTAATTTAATCTTTAAATTTTACAATATCACATAGAACTTTCATACACCTAAACGTATTAACTATCCCCTCTATTATGAACATCGGTATCGGCCGATATATTATCGGCAGTTCTAATCGGTTTTAGGTTTCTTCTGTATTATGAACCGATACCTATAAAAGTATTTCAACCGATTAAAAGAAGCTTTTTCATATAAATTTTTGTTTTTGTAAATTGGAGAAAAAGTTTTTTTTTCTAATGACATTTGTTTTCTTTCAAAAGTTATTTTCAAAAAATTTTAAAAATTATTTTGAATTTGGTTTTGATGTGCTAAAAAGTTGTTGTAAGCAAATTATTTTCTGTTAAATTTGTAAAATAAAAATATACATATATCGGGAAAATGTCGCGTGCATTATATTTTGAAAGTGAAGAAACGGTAGTAAGTGAAGAAACGCAAGCTATTCAAAGACGACATATAAGAGATTCAACTAATCTATTGGATTTAGACAACAAAATGTATGTTTATGTACCTATTTTATATTATTATTTATATAATATGTACACATTTTTTAGGTTTATCCAGAATTTCAGATTATCATTCCTTGCCAGATTTAAGTCCTCTTCCATTTTTTCTACTAACCGCGCAATTTGTTTTTTGTTGCTTACGATTTTGCTCCTAAATAAAATATATGAATAACATTTTGAAAGAAAATAATTTAGAAAAAATGATTACATTTTAAAAAAGCAATTAATTACACCAGTTGCCTTGATAAAATGAAGATTTTACAAAAACAAAATCTGTCGTCTAAAAATTTGTACCCGCTTTTAAATCGGGGAAAATCCGACAATTTATTGTTTTCATAATACCAGCTAATACGTTTCCTATACAGGGAAAAAAAGCTTTCCCGACTCCGATAAAATTTACCGATAAACAATACAAACACAAAATTTTGCCGAAAAATTACCGTTTATCGGCCGATACCGATATACATAATAGGGGAGTATCTAATCACGATTTTATTTTAACCCTATGCAGCAAATACTCCCTAAACTTATATTTAATCTATAATGCTAATACTCTTTAATCCTTTTTTAATTATTTTTGATTTTGTAATTAAAAAAAATACATGCTCGTATATTTTTTTTTAAATCGTCAAATTGTGATTTAGTAAAAAAAAAAAAAGAAAAAAACACTAAAAAAAAAATTTTTTTTTTAACTATTTGTATGATGAAGAAATTAAAAATTAAATATTTTTTTACAATTATCATAAATTTAAGTAATACTTTTTAAATTAGAATTAAGAAAAATTGATATTCTAGCCAATTCTATTTTTAAAATATCGTTTTATTATATAATATGAATGCATATTTACATACACACACACATATTATGTAATAACAATATTAATTAAATTAATTATTAAGGAACCTAAAATATGTAGAAATAGGTAATACTGAAAAAATATTATTTAGAAACTTTATATTTTAATTTAATTCAAATTGTAAAAAAAAAAAATCCTTAAAAATATAAGAATAAAATTAATTCAATATTTGTTCAATATCATGAAAACAGGGTGAATTTGACCCCATTGAAAAATGCGAAGATATTAAGTTTTTATTAGAAAGGATTTATATTCAAAACCCTTTCAAAATTAATATTAAAATTTAAAAAAAAAAAACTTATTTTTGAAATATTAAATTTACCATTATAAAAAATCTAAATATTAAATTAATTTTTGGGGGTTTTCGTTTATTCAGTTCTAGAATAGTTCTAGTTTATAGCACGTTCGAAACTTCAGGCTACATACATTAAAAATATAGATCGTTCGGAAATTACTGGCTGCAATAAAGTGCGTTCGAAAATTCAATCTTTAATAAAGAAATGTAGCACAGATGGTAAATTCTTAAACGTCAAATTTTACAAAATCTGAGTTGTCTGAGTTTACGAATACTCTACTGCGTTTTTACTTTGAGTCAAAGTTTAAATTCTTAAACGTTTAAAAAAAGTCAATTAAGCGTCAAAATTGTAGATTTTTTTTTTACATGCAGACAGTCTGACGTAGTAATTCAGTAAATAAATTTGATGTATTGAGTAACTATCATTACGTTAAAAATAATATAAAAAAAATTTTTCTTGATTAATTTTTAATATGTAAGTATAAAATTATTTTAAATCTAAAAAAATTTTTTTTTTGTTTTGACGTTTACGGATGATCAAAATTCAAAGTCAATTACGGGTAAAAAGTTTACTATATTTCTGTCCGTAAAAGTTTTATACGTCAGACAGTTTGCAGACTGAAAACAAAATTTTGACGTTAAAGAATTTGCGGAGACTTCTAGTTTAAATTTTGTCGTTGCCTTCTGAAAATTTTTTTTTTTAAATTTAAAATTCAAAAAAATTTTAAATTTCAAAATGGCAGATTCAAATATTGAACGATTATTAAATTAAGTTTTCTTTAAGTCTTCAAATCTTGTTAAAATTTCCATATGTTGCAGTGAATTAGAGGGCGAAAAGTATTGCGGTAATATTTTATAAATAATGTGATTTCTGTTGTTTTGTCGAACGGACTGATTATTTAGAAGTTTCAGAATTTGTAGATTGCGTAAACTAAAAAAAAACTTAGCTGAAGTTTTTGCATACTGTTTAACGCTGCGGCTTAGAAATTTTAGTTCTAATGTAGAACTTTCAGCGCAGCGAGTGCATAAACGATGCGATAAACTCCCTTTCTCATTTAAATTCTTAATTATTTAAGCTCAATTTAAGGTGATGTGAAAATAGAAGTGCCTTATTTATTTATGCAATCATAAATTTATGAGATATTAATTTATATAAGAGTTTGATAGTTTCTCAGTATATTAAATTGCGTGGAACTAACATTAGTCATAAATTCTAACACGACATGACGTAAGCATGCAGTATAAATTCCAATATGCTTCGCTAAAGCAACTGATTATGAAAAAATTATTTAGTTTTTTTTTTTCTGCATTTTTTTTTACATGCATTTTTTTTTACATGATTGATGATTAAGTGATTTTGATGATTAATCAATGACGATGAAACCACTTTAATTTAAAAATTTATAATTTTCCATTTTAAAAATGTCAATTGCAAAAATGGCGTGAACAAATTACGTGAACAAATGGCGTGATTAACATTCTGTAGAAATTTTCCAAAAACCCGATAAGCTATTTTTTGGCCAACATTTGAGTTAGTAATAAAAATGGAATTGCTAAAGAGTCAATTTTTGCCTAACCAGCACTCTATGAGCAAATTAAAAAATAAAAATATTAAAAGTTGTTAAACCCATAACCAGAATATCCTAACAAATTTTACGAATTAGCAGAGTGCGATATTTACCTTATTGGGATTTACAAATTTTCTGATATCGGATTTTAGCTAATTTCTACAGAATTATTCTTTGACATACTGGGAAACTGTTGTCTTTTTAAATTATTCATAAATTCAAAATAAATATATAAAAAAGTAATTAGAATAAAATTTTTAAGATTTTTTTTTTTTACAAAAATTGAATTACTTATAATTTACATTGATCTGGTTTAAATATTTTGAATAAATTCATGAATTCTTATTTGCTAACATTCTTTATTTTATAGTCTCGTATTTTCTATATTTTTTTCTTATACACTAAATTAAAATACTTTTAATATGCGCCCTCTTTCTTTTCTTAATGTATAATTATTTTTCTTATTTTTACGAATATTTTTTCAGTATTATTTAAAATAACATTATTATTATTATAAATAATTTAGAATTATTTAATTGTATTGTAAATAGAAACATATTTATTAAAAAAAGTGAAAAAATAAAATTTTATATTTTAAATCCTTTGATTATTGTGATTAATATTAAGAATTAAATAAAACTATAAAAAAAAATTAAGTATACAAATGTATAAATGTATAACTGCTATAATTAATATTTCAAAAATAAATAAAAAAAAAAACTAAAATACTTAATAAATTTAATATAAAAATTAAACTTAAGTTTTAAAAAATCAACAAATTATTATTTTTTATTATTTTATAAACCTTAACCAAAATGTTATCGTATTTAATTATACAATATAAAATTAAATTTGAAAATAATTAAAAAAAAAAAAATTGAATTAATTAAAAATTAAGAGCCATAATTAGGTTTTCTACTCATTTTTATAATTTTCTTTTACAATATTTTTTTTTTTTGGTTTTTATAAGATTAAGAAGGAAAAAATTTGGATATTTTTCTTTACAACAACAACAATTATTATTGTAACTCAAAAAATATATCTAGTATAATTAATATAACGAAATGGATTTGAAAAATGGCAATTTAGAGAAAAAAAAAAAGAAATAAGAAAATTTTAAAAAAATATATGAGAAAAATAAAATTATTTATAAATAAAATTATTCTAATATTGTTTTATTTAATTTTCAATTGTAAGTAGTCAAGCTTAGTAATACGAGCGAGAATTGCTCATTCAGAAAATACAATAAATAGAGAAGAATTTTAACAAAATTATAACAATTTCTAAAGCTACTAGACTTAACTTCTATACATTATTACCCTTATTATATTAGCCAAAAATTTCATTTGCTTCGCCGATCATAATAAGAGCCTATAACAAAAATATGATTCTACATTACATTTTCAACATTACATATTGTTAGA